GATGCCGGGCCCCCGCCGGAGGAGTGGGTCCCACCGTGCGCCAGCCTCCGCAGCCGAGGCTCTAGAATTCCAGCCCGCCAGACCCTCAAGCCCAATGCCCCCAGGTGCGCCTCCGCGCTATGGCCGGATCCCTACCATAACGATCTGAACCCAAAGAGCCGATGGTAACGAGGGTGGCGTTACCCTAAATGTGCGCAGAGGTTTTCAAAACATGCGAAAGGGCTCTCAGAAACGGGGTGTCTCTACCTTACTGTGCCCTTAATGGGTGGCGGCTCTCTGTTGCCCTGTCGAGGTCCCAGGAGCTCAAAGGCCCTGCTCAACCTTATGAAGCCCTGTCCCCACCCCACTTCCCTGGGGATCCACAGGAATGTCCTGCGGCACAAGACCCTCTTCTTAGTGAAGTGAGATCATGGTCTAACAAGAACCCCACTTAGGGCCTCTTGGGATCTAGCCACGGGCAGACACCACCTGGGTTTTTCAGGGGGGCAGGCAAGTCGGTTCCTACCCATAGCAACCCTGCAGGGCAACGCAGAAATTCGCCTGCAGGTTTCTGAAACTGTACCCCCGTCTTTACGGCTCGAGGTCTATTCACAAATACAATGGAGCGGATGGAGTCTCCAACTTGCTAACCCAATGGGTCCAAAGCTCCTGCCTAGAACCCGGGGCATTTAGCTTCCTGAAGAGACCACCTCTGCCCACTCCTCGACCCCCTTCACTGTCCAGCTGGCCCTCCCTCGCAGCTCTGTGACGAGCAAACGCCCCCCAACACAAACCACCACCACCACCAGGCTCCCAGGTCCACAGGCTGCCCATTGAAAGGACCGTGCAGGTGGCTGGAGTCCTCAGAGGTCCAGCCATGGAAGATGGACCACGAAGGTAAGCCTAAGGGCCCTCTCACCCTTACACCCTACCCAGGCTCCCCAGTGCCTCACGTGGTAAGAGGGAACAGACCTGGTGTCTAGTCCCTGCTGCCCCCCCTCCAAGTTGTATGCCTTTGGTCCAAATTCCTGTACCTTAATGTCCTCTTTGTAAAAGGAGGGCATTGAATAAAGTCTTCAAACTCCTGCTTAGCAATGAAACCCTATTCACAAATACAACCGGTGGCAGTGGTGCTGCTGGGTTGAAGGGGGTGTGTATCAGGATCACAACCGTTCCTCCCCGCCCCATGCTCCCACCCCTGCTGCCCCAATCTGGCCATACTGTTCCCCCAACCCATAGAGTGTTTGAAAAGCACTGGGCCAGACCCCCTCGGCCCTCTAAGCCCACCTAGTCTTTCTCTGTGGACCGCAGCAGGGGTTCTGTGGCTGCCATTGGGGCTCAAGGACTGAAGACAAACAGAGCTTCCCTCTGGCTGCTCAGTGATACCGAGGGTGGGAAATCACCGGTTGTCCTCCTGCACCGGGAGAAGAGAGAAAGCTGGGCCTTGTCTGTGGCAGGAGGGCTCAGGGTTAGATGATCTTAGCAGCCTAGTCGTGGGAGGAGGACCCGTGCTTTGGGAATGACATCCACCCGTTTGATGAGCTCTCTTCTTAGGCCAGGGTAGCTCCAGAGGGTGGCATGGTGACCCACCCAGGGCCCTCCCGCTCTGGATTTCCTTCGACTCTGTGATTTGGGAGGATCTAGGGGCTGCGTGGGCACCTCACCTAATAGCCATGTGGCGCGGAGAATGCTTGGAAATTATACCATCTGTTAATTATGCCTTGAATTGGAGTTGGGTAATGAGACTCTCATTTATGATGAAGGCCCAAGCAAGGACCGGAAGGAGCTGCGGCTTTCCATTCATTGCTCTCCCTTAGGGGCTCGAATAAGCTTGCTGGGCGGGAGAGAAAGCAGCCCTAGCTGGATCATGGAATAGTGGTTCTGGAGGCAGGGGACTGCCGTAGAAGGCACCCACAGGGAGGTCCCCTCCAGGGGAAAGGCAGTTTTGCCCAAGGGCCTACAGGTTGGAGAGAGGGGTGGTGGGGCAAGGAGTTTCTCCCTTCTTCTCCAAGTACATTTGCAAATAGTCCTTAGTCCCCTCAGCTCTTATCCCCAGGGCCACAGATCAGAGGAAGGCAGCTCCATTCCCCCCGCCCCCCATCTCAGCTCAAAGGCAGGAGGGAAACTTCTGAGGTGATAGTCCTTGGGTTACCAAAGGCAGGGAACCTAGATGTGTCTTGAAGTTCAGTTTATAGCCATATCGGACGAGGTCTGCATGGTTCGTATGGAGCCTTAGTTTAGTGCAAGAAGTGGGTCCTGGTGATGAAATACATTACCCATTGGGCTACTAGCCACAAGGTCAGCAGTTCGAAACCACCAGCTGCTACACTGGAAAAAGATGAGGCTTTCTGCTCCTTTAACGATTTATAGCCTCAGAAACACACCAGCCCAGTTCTTTGCATGTGGAAATTACGTGAGACAAAGTCTCCCTCTCCTTGCCTCGTAGGAGCTCTGGCTGTACTTCTTCCTAGAAGGATCTGTTTGCTCTTTTGGCAGTCTACAGTACTTTCCATATTCTTTCCAAGTGTCATAATTCACATAGTAAGGGCAAATTTACATAGCATGAGGGGCCAACTTCCTGAGTGGTCCTTAAGTGGGCTGTTTATAATCTGGGGACTTGCAGTACATCACCAGGTATCTCAAACTAGGGGTTGCACTGAGTGTCCCCTTTGGCTCCAAGGGAAAGGAGTGCCTGCTTCATGGGACTTCTCAGCTGTAAGGAACCCCAGTCTTCCCTCCCAAACAGGAGCTGGGCAGCAGCAAGTTCCTGTACCTGTTAAAAGGGACTTCCTGCTCTGCTAATCAAGCCTCCCATTTGATGGAGCCTCTGGGAGACTGGGCTGGCCTTGGGGCTCTTGGCCAGCTCTTCCTGAGGGTCCCCTAGTTGAGGAGGACTCCAAGTTTGGATAGGGTGTGCCTCTGGCTCCATGTGAACAAGCTAACAAGGGTGAAGGGCCCCAGGAGCAAGTGAGGGTGAAAGGGCTAAAGAGATTCAGAAGAGCAAACAGTAGAGGTGGGTAGGTGGAGGAAATCCCAAAGGGTTTCCTGGAAGCAGTGGGTCTTGGGCTTCGTGGTGAAGAATCAGAAGCCACATGCTTGGCCTGAGGAATTTGCTCAGCAAAGTCATATGGTACAGGCTAAGCATGGTCTCCAAGATCACACAGCTAGTAGATGGCAGAGCTGCGATTCGAACCCAGGTGATCTGGCTCCAGCGTTCATGGCCTTAGTGGTGTACTAGCAATGACTGGATTGTGCACGGTTCACCAGGGCAGGAGCGGAGGAGCGGAGACTGGGGTAGGCCTGCTGTGGCCACATGGGGAAAAAGCCCAGTGACCCCTGCTGTGAACAGAGTAGCCAAAAGCAGAAAGTGCTTTGGGCCTGGTGGGCCAAGATTCTGGACCAATGGTCTGCTTGGGAAAGGGGGTGTGGAGTGAGGCCGCCTGAGGAGGCAAAGGTCAGGGTGCTCTTTGGTGGGGGAGCGGGAGCAGGAGCAGTTCACAGGGCGGGAGGGAATGGTGAGCGGTCCTAGCAGCGGTCCTGCTTGTGGGCTTCGGTGGTGCTTCCTACAGGGGCACAGAAATGGGCTCTAGACACTGCTGCTCCCCTGTGGCACGTGAGAGTGTGTGGTGGTGACCAGGGGCCAGCTGACCCGGGACAGACCAGAAGCCCTAGGATCCTGTCCCTGATTCCTTCCCCTCGCTCACCACACAGCATACCCAGCCCATGGCCACCTGCTTGTCTTCACGGCTGGAGGTGTTCCTTTCCCTCCCAGGCGACTCAGTCAGGCCTCCGTGGAGTTCTCACCTGATTACTTGCCCTCCAGAAACCATCTTCGCTCAGCAACCTGAGAAATCTTTTTTCTTTTTTTAGGCTCACCTTTTTTGCTTTGCTTTAAAATGTGTTTTTGTGGAAATGTGGAACTTTCCCGCATCAGGGAAACGAAGAGCGAGGTACACTGAACGCCTGGTTGC